AGGGTACCATAAAGGGATAGGATATATCGCTCCGTTTCAAACTTGACTCTCTTGTGTCTTATCAGAACCAAGATCATTATGCAGTGCTTGGACTTGGCCATGTAAGATACAAAGCTACACAGAGACAGATCAAAGCAGCTCGTAAGTACTTAGTTATTTTGAAGTAATTATATATTTGTTATAGAAAATGTTATTTTGAAAAAATATGCAGGGTAATAATCTGTTGCCATATCTCTACATTTAACAGTATGTGTAATAATTGTCATAGCAATATAAAATGTAAGACCAAGGTCTCCTTTGCCTTCATAACCAGAAAAAAATTAATGATGTATGGACTTTCTCATTAGGGATTAAAAAATCAGTTTGGGTGTGTGCGTGTGTGTGTGTGTGTGTGTGTGTGTGTTAGAGAGAGTGTGTGGGAAGGAGGGAGGGAAGGAGAGACAGAGAGAGAGAAAGAAGTGTGGGGAGCAGGCAGGCAGGATAAAAAATACTCCAATAGCAAGCTATTAAAAATATTTTACCTCTCTTTGGAAGTATGGGCAGCTGTATTTAGTGGGGGCCCTGCTTTGTTTCTTTGGTTTTTCAATATTATTTAGTGGTTTTAGGTCACACCTTTGTCAAAATCACCCTTTCCTCTGCCCAAGAGTCCAGTGCTTTGTTATTACTTTATTTTACAAGATTAAATATCGGGGGAGGAAAATGTTGGGAACTGAGACTTCATATACCTTAAAAAGACACCATCCTTTAATGTGCCTAAATGTCCTGTTCTTTTCATTTCTGTGGACATAATTCCTTAAACACCTTGATTAGTGAAGTTTAATGAAAAAGGTGAAGGTGATTAGTTTTCTGTGTTTTATCTTAGGAGAATGTTCTGCCCTCCACTGTAGAGAATGGATATTGAGGTCAGAGGAGGTAAGATTGTGGCCATTTGAAAAAGGAATAGGGAGTCAAGTCCAGCCAAGAAGAGAAAGTGCTGTGCTTGGATGAACATGGCTAAACAAGAACTTACGTTGAAAAATGCTGGTTGAGACTTAGTTTAGTAGATAAACTCAATTTTTCCCATTAATGCTTATATTTAGGAAAATCACAAATATTTTTTAGTAGTGAAGGGATTTATCAGATTATTTTATACTTATTACTGGATTTCTTAAAAGGCTGGCATGATTTTAGATAGAACATATGCTAGTGTATACAAATAGTTATTGTAATATACATAAATGCCAGGAATTACCATGGGAAAGTATTTGCAGAGTCTTACTATAAAAATAGCATATAAGTACTACATATGTCATGATGCACACAAATTTATAAAAAAAATTAGAACTTATTTTTGAACTATGAAAATATTTGCCATTTTAAAATGAAGGAATTCTTTTGTCTTTCTCTAAAGGATAAAAAATGAGCAAAAATTATAAGGAAATATTCATTTTATTTTTGTTAAGGCCACACTTTTTCTTGACAAAGTAGAAATTAATTTTTGAGTATTCTGTAGTGGAAGTCTTACAATACCTGTGCAGATTGTTAACCGTAAGAAAGGAACTGTAATTCACTCCACACCACCCTGGTTGAATATTAGTATTTATTCAGAAGGAGAGTGTCATTTTCCCTACCTCTATAAACTATATAGTTTAAACAGTTTAAATAGTTCTGTTAACTAGAGAAGTATAAAATAGACCGTTGCTACTTACTGCTTTCTGAAAGTCTAGTCAGAAAGTGAAAATGCAGTTAGTGTTTGCAAATCCATGATTATTATAGTATAAGCATAATAAAAATGTAAGTCTGATAATACTTAAGATCTTTTGCGTTCTTAGATCATATTACAAAACACACTTTAGTATATAAATTGTGTATAGACGGGCATGGTGGTGCATGCCTTAACATGCCTGTAACATGCCTGTAATATGCCTGTAATCCCAGTGGCTCAGAAAGGTGAGGCAGGAGAGTCACAAGTTCAAAGCCAGCCTCAGCACTTAGTGAGGCCCTAAGCAACTGAGCGAGACTGTGTCTCTAAATAAAATATAAAAACATGGGTGGGGATGAGGCTCATGGTTGAATGCCCAGTACCAAATAAATTAAAAAATAAATTATGTAATTTTGTTCTTGAGGTACACATTGGCAAATGGTGTGTAGGTTTTATAATCTTTTTAAAACATGATGTTGAACAAGAGAAGCCAGATACAATAGCATATTATAGCTTTCATTTGTTTGAATAATCAGATAATTTGGATATTCCAGATTTATTTGTGATATTTTAAAACTAAAAACTTTCAAGCTTTTTAAAAATAAAATTATATTTAAATGCTTTTTAAAAAATATTTATTCTTAGTTTCTGGTGGACACAACAACTTTATTTTATTTTTATGTGGTGCTGAGGATCGAAACCAGTGCCCCACGCATGCCAGGCAAGTGCGCTACCGCTTGAGCCACATCCCCAGCCCTAAATGCTTTTTTTAATAGTACCAATGTGATCATACAATAAAAGCCCCTTTACTGGTGTAGCCTCAGAATACCTGAGAAACTTGTTTTTCATGGGTGAGGGAAGGGAAAAGAAAACCTGAAATTATTTATTTTTCCCTTCCTTACTGCAGTATTGGGGATTGAACCCATGAGTGCTCTATCACTGAGTCACATCCCCCAGCTCTTTTTATTTTTTATATTGAATCAGGGTCTTGCAAGTCTCCTGTCTCAGCCCCCTTAGTCACTGAGATTATAGGCAATGTGCCTGGCTGAAATTTCAGTAAATGTATAATAGCTGTTCCCAGATTACTTTTGTTTCTTTTTCTTTTTCTTTTTTTTCCCAAGTTGGCCAGTCTTTTGGCTCTCTTTACATTATTTTCTTAAATTGGGTAATATCTTCAGTCCCTCCCAGGGACAATTTTATAAGTAGGATGATAGAAGCCTCTAATACACATGGGTGACTAAAGATGATCAGGCAGAAAAATCAGTGTAGGAAAAAATAGTGCAGCCTAAAAAGAGACAAACTTGATCCTTTTTACAAAAAAAAGTAAGATATCTTTCAGACTTTATCCTGAGGTTTAAAAGAAAACCCAAGAAGTGTCTATGTTGTCAATGAAATACGAAGATGCTGTACTACAGTGAGGTCAGCATTGGAGAGGGAGATTAGGGAGAAATAAGTAGAGGCTGCATGAAAACTAAAAACTTGAGAGCAGAATATAAAATTACAAAAAATTGCTGATGTATAATTAGAAAATACAGTAAAGCCAGGGACAACCTTAATGAATGTTCCCAAGATTCAGATGAAAAGAATAAAGAAATGCAAGATGTCCCTAAAGAAGAAATAAGAAACAACTACAAATCAGAAAGCTTAACCTGATTTTTAAAAATATGTATGGCTTGAGATTCAGAATATATAGACAAATGACTTAGGTCACTAATCAGCACACACTTCAGAGTCAAAGGAGAACAACAGGCTGTGCTGCAGGAATCCATTTGCTGGCAAGGGGGGAAGAGCACTGCATAGTGAAATTTAAGGCTTTCACTGGCTACATGACAGGGGTCATAGCTTGTGCTCAGTATCAACAGTTGTGAGGCACAGTGATTGTGTCAGTGGTGGGATAAACATGTTTCTGAACTTTCCAGTAAAAATTGAGTCATGAGCTTCCAAACATGATAATTTGGTTACCATGAAAGTTCTGTGAACTGGGCTGGGATTGTGGCTCAGTGGTAGAGCTCTCACCTTGCATGTGAGAATCCCTGAGTTCGATCCTTAGCACCACATAAAAATAAATAAAATAAAGGTATTGTGTCCAACTACAACTAAAAAATAAATATTTAAAAGAAAAAGTTCTGTGAACTACCTAATAACATTTAATAAATTTCTGTTCTGCTTGAACCAGCTAGAATTTTAAAATGCCTGTTTTCCAGTGCTAGTAGAGAAATGACCACCTAACTAGAAGGAAGATCTTGGACTTCAGGAAAACAAATGTATTTGTCACACTTCTGAACCCTTGTAAAAATGAGTAAAAAATTTCCACACAAATGTTCATAGCAGCCTTATTCAAAATGTTCATAAATAGGAAACCACCCTAATGTTCACCAACAGGAAAATGGATAAGCAAATTGCTCTTAGAACATAGAATCCTACTCAGCAATAAAAAATAACATTACTAGTATACTCAAGAGTTTCAAAACATGGTGGTGAGCAGGAGAAGACAGACACAGTAGCATACTATAGGTTTCATTTATATGAAGTTCAAGAACATAAAAGTAATCTGTGGTGTTATAAATCAAAAAGTGGTTGCCTTAGTTGGTAGGGGATGGGAGTCACCTGGGAAGGGGTGCAAAGGAACTCTGGGTAAGGGAAATGGTATACATTTCTTTTGATTGTAACTGTAGTTGCATGTGTATATACAGTTGTTAACTCATTAAATTGAATACTTAATATCTGAACATTTTGTTCTTAAATGTATTTTTTAAAATTTTATCTCAACCAGATGAATAAGATGCAAAACAAAACAGAACAACAATCACTGGGAAATTTTAAAATATTTGGGGGCCTAAAAAATTAAAATTGTGTATATGGATGCAAAAGTAAGATTAAGATTGTTGCCTGTCAAAACTTAAAGGAACGGCAACTAGAATTATACCATAGCAAGTTCATTGCCTTAACCTATTATGTTACTTTCTTTAAAACAGGGGAAAAAATAAAGTAGACTTTCAATTCATTGTTTAAGAGAACAACACTAAGGAAGATGGAGGAAGGAAATAGAAGAGATAAAACAATATTCCAAAATGGGTTTTATAAAGAAGAAAAAAACAAATAGTGAAATATACAAAGGATGAAAACCATTATAGAAGATACTTTTAATTGAAACTACTCTTATATGCAGTGAATTTGAAAATTTCAGTAAAAACTGAAGAAGAAATTTTTAAAGTTACCAAAGAATTATCTTCTAAAAACCATTTTTAGGCCCAGGTAATTTTTCAGGTGAATATTTCATATGTTAAAGGAATTGAAAATGCTCATGCTGAACATAAACTGTTTTGGAACAGTTCATTTTGTTCTTCCTTTTTTTTTTTTTTTTTTTTTTTTCCTGTGCCGGGGGTTGAACCCAGGGCCTCACTTGTACTAAGCATGTGCTTTGCCTGTGAGCTACACCCCTAGCATGGAACATTTCATTTTGTGAAATTAATGCAGCCCAAGTATGAAGACTTAGCAAACAGAGCTCAAGAGAAACTATGAATAAATCTTATTTGTAACACCAAAAAATAAATAAGTTAAAATGTAGCAGACCTATATTTTTTGGCAGTTACCCTCAAATATATTAGATAGCTATAGCCATTTTTAGGACAGTCCTGGGACAAGAATGAGTAATCAAAACAAGCCCTTATAAAATTTGCTGTGATAAAGGAAACGTTACAAATCAGTGGAAAAGGGAAGTATTATTGATTATATTAGGATTTTAAGAAATGACAAAATTTTAATACCTCTTTGACTATTAAATTCCAGAAAAGATTTAAGGGATTCATTGTTTTTAAATCTAAGCATAGGAAATATTTGTGATACTAGAAGAATTATAAATACTGGAAAAAGCTATAGAGGAAATGATAAGTAATTGTATAAATAAAAATGAATTTTAAAAAACGAACAACACCATTTGGGGGAAAACATTAGCAACAGATATTGAATGTAAAGAGTTGCAGCATGCATATAGGCTGAGGATTCATAGACTGCTTGGATCAGAGCCTGACTTGGCCATAACTTTGTGCAGGTTGCAAAAATTGTGGTTGCTTAACTTCTCTGTGTCTCATTTTTCTCATCTGTGAAATGAAGAAACAAATAATGCTTTTCTCATAGTTATTGAGATAAATAGGCCTGGCTCACAAATGCTCAATAGCTAATATCTTATTGTGAAGTGACACAAACTAAGGATAAAAACAGATAACCCTTCTATCTATAGATAGATGAAAAGTACAAACAAAAAATTTTGAGCACCAGTGATAATTTTATATCAGTGATATTTTATATCTCTAGTGATAAATTTTTTAGACCCTGTGCTAGTTAAGACTATGGTGAAAAGGATGTACACATAAAAAAATGAAATAGTTTAATTTTTGGAATGCACCTTGTTCCTATATTTTTATTCACTAATTTCACTTCTGTATAAATTTATCTTCAGAAAAAGAGTCCTAAATGTGGAAAAATAGTAATATTCAAGGTGATTCAGATTGGAAACAATTCCAATTTCTATCAGTAGAGAAATGCTTACATTATGACAATTCCACTTGAAATGTAGTCCTAAACAGTTAGTAAAAGGGAAGTTTGAAGAGTTGACAAGAAAAATGGAAAAAGGCAAATGATATAATATTAACTTAAAACAAAAACAATATAAATTTATACATACAGTATGATCGCACCTAATTTTTTATTTTTTCTTGTTTTTTTGCAGTGCTGGGGATTCAACCCAGGGCCTTGTTAATAAGCAAGGGCTCTAACACTGAACTACACCCCTCGGCACTCCTAAATTCTTTAAAGCATATCCTTAAGGGAAAAAATACCTATGTATAAATATACAAAAACATTATATATTTGTCTTTGGGTGCTGGCACTTTGGCTGATTTCTTAAAATAATTGTTTCAGTTGCTCTTTAATTTTCACACTTAATAAGCACGCATTTCACCTTGGAAGAAAAGATTTTAAAATTAGCATTGCAATTTTGGAGATGGTCTGTATTTAGCTCATCCTTATTTTTGGTTTTGATGCCTGAAGTGACAAATCTGACTCATTTTGTAGATAAAGCAATGGTCTTAAAACATCACCCAGACAAACGGAAAGCAGCGGGTGAACCAATAAAAGAAGGAGACAACGATTACTTCACTTGTATAACTAAAGGTAAGAAAATATTTTACAATCGGAAATTTCTGAAAGTAATTTTTATTTAATAAATGCTGGGATTGGGTTTCCTATGTGTGATATAGTTCATTTACTATCACATGATATCTTTAAATACTTTCAGTTATATCAGGTTATTTATTTCCCCAAAATCTCACTATACAAAGTGAGGTTCCCCCAGCCAGCAGCAATAACACCTGGCAGCTTTTTAGAAATGAACATCTCAGGCCCTGCAACTACTGATTAGAATCTGCATTTTAATGGATCTCCAGATGACTCTTACCGGAAGCTTATACAAGCATTGTATTTAATGATGAGACTACTAAAATCTTTGCCTATCAGTTTCTTTGTGAGAGTAAATTGTTCCTTAGATCTTTTGCTAATTTAAATTGGGGGCTGGATGTGAACTCAGTGGCAGAGCACTTACCTAGAATGTGTGAGGAGACCCTGGGTTCCATCCCCAGCACTAGGAAAAAGTAATAATAATTAAGCTAATTATATCATTATACAATAATTATATATTGCTAATTTACATAGCAATATGCTCATTAAGCAAGCAAACATAGGTAACCACCATTTCTAAATGTTTCCTAAATGTGATTTTATTATTTTTTATTTTTGTGGGTACCAGGGATTGAACTCAGGGGCACTTGACCACTGAGTCACATCCCAGCCCATTTTTGTGTTTTATTGAGAGACAGGGTCTCCTCGAGTTGCTTAGCACCTCACTTTTACTGAGGCTGGCTTTGAACTCAGGATCTTTCTGTCTCAGCCTCCCGAACCACTGGGATTACAGGCGTGCGATACCACACCCAGTGTGATTTTACATTTTGATGATACTTGTTAAATAATTATATGTGCATTTTTCAAAATTCTTCATCTTAGCCCACTCATATCACACATTACTCTAGAAACCTAAGAGCCTTCCATCTTTTACAGCCATGAGATCCAACAGTTAATTTTCTTTTCCCCCACAGTCGTCATCATCATTTTTCAGTTACTGTTTAAAGATTTTTTTGTTACTTTCCTATCAGAAGTACTTAAAGGAGTTGCATCCACTCATATCCAGAAGTGCTAGAGCTGTCCTTACCTAAATTAAATCCTCCCCACCCCCCAAAATTTTAAATATGAAAATTAATAACGTAAAAGAGGGGGATATTTGTTTTCTCTTAGAAAAAAAAAAGGGTAAACTTATGGTGCTGTAATCTTGCTTTTTTTCCTGGGGTAAACTTAATAGTGCTATAATCTTGCTTTTTTCCCCCCTCAGCTTATGAAATGTTATCTGATCCAGTGAAAAGACGAGCATTTAACAGTGTAGATCCTACTTTTGATAACTCAGTTCCTTCTAAAAGTGAAGCAAAGGATAATTTCTTTGAAGTGTTTTCTCCAGTGTTTGAAAGGAATTCCAGGTGAGTTAAAGCATTTCCACTTTTGATCATAAAATCCTCTATTAGCTTGCTTTGTGCAGTCCTCCAGCTTTTTGCTGTTTTCCCCTGATATTAGTTTTATTTATAAAATTGTTTCCACTGTCTTGTCCTCCTCATCTTTTATTGAGCCCTTCTAGTAAACTTATTTACTTATTATTCTCATTTATTTTGTTCTCTAAACAAAATTCTGCCTTTCCATAGTGAAATTCCTTTATCGTTTATGGGATATTTTCCTTTGGCTAAAAAGTTATATCTGGCTTTATGTAATGTGATATTGATAGTTAGGTAATAGTACTTTTTTTTTTTTTTTAAACTTCCTCTCTATCTGTGGGTACACTGTTTGGCTCATTATAAGTTTTTTAAAAAAAGAAAGAAAAGAAAAGGGCTCATGGTCCTTTTTCTTCTTCTTTTTTTTTTTTTTTTTTGGTACCAGGAGTTGAATCCAAGCCTGCTTAACTACTGAGCCACACCCACAGCACAGTCTTTTTTATTTTAATTTTGAGACCAGATCATTTCACTAATTTGCTGAGGCTGGCCTCAAACTTGTGATTCTCCTGCTTCAGTCTCTATTATTGAGATGATAGCATGTGCCACCACACCTAGCTTGATCCTTTTTTTTTTTTTCCCCATACAAGATTATCATAAGGCATCTCTGACAAAGGATGATTTACATTTAAGATTAAAGCATACATAATTTATTTCAGTAAAATGTTTTTTATAATAGTATGCATAGTGTCAGTATTCTATATTTTTTGTTCCCTCAAAGCCTGTTTTGGCTGTGCGTTGGATTCATCTGGAGAGCTTAAAAAAAACTTTTTACTGCCTATTGCTTGCAGAGAGATGCTGATTAACGGTAGGAAATTTTAATCCTCTCTGGTGATTCTACTGTGCAGCCAAAGTTTTGAACCTTCCCCCCCTCCCCCTTTAGTACTAGCGGTTGAACCAGAGGCGCTTACTCACTAAGCCTTTTTGAAATGTTTTATTTTGAGACAGGGTTATGCTAAGTTGTGTAGGACCTCTCTGAATTGCTGCAGCTTGCTATGAACTTGGAATCCTCTTGCCTCAGCCTCCTATGCTGCTGAGATTACTGGCATGCACCACTGCAACCAGCTGAACCACTTATTTAGTAGTTTGATGCGGCCTACTGGTTGCTCCTCTCTGTCTTCTCACATTTATTTTAAAACAGTACTGAAGGTGATATAAAGAAATAGCTTTTTTTGTTTTGTTTTGTTAGTGGTACTGGAAAGATGGAACACAGGGACATTCTACCCCTGAATTACATCCCTGGCCCTTTTTATTGTTTAATTTCAGTAAGTTGCTGGGGCTAGCCTCCAATCTATGAACTTCCTGTGAGCTGGGATAACAGGCATGTGCCACTGTACCTGTATTTTTGTGTGTAGTGATTTAATAAAGTAGAAAACATGGGTCAGTAGCAGCCATAGAGTCCTTTTCAGAGGTGATGCGTGAAATGCCAAGCCTAGAAGTCTAGCTCTTAGGCACAGGTGGTGGTGATAAGGGATGAAAGTTTGTTCTTTCTGTAAATATTAACATTTATTTTAAAGGCCAGGCCTTACATTAGTGTTGCTTCTGTGCTACCTGTTTAGGGGAAGGAGTAAGTGAGCTTGGGGAAAAAAGGCTAGTTGCCATTTTTTCCTAACCTGTCTGACAGCTACTATATCATTGTATCTTGGGACTGGGAATATATCTCAGTGGTGAGTGCAAGGCCATAAATGCAATCACCAGCACTACAACAAAATCATTAAACTTTTTGAACTGAAGATAACCTGAAAGTTATTCCATTGTCTCTTGCCACCTTCTAATCCATTCTTCACACCTACATTGTTTGTCATGTGACTGTTGACCTTCCAACTCTCATCTTTTAATTGCAGAGATTATAGGGGAGGGAGGTTAAAGGGGATTAGTAAAGGTCCTTGTTGTTTTTAATAAATTAGGCTGTAGGTAGAACTTTTGTGCAAAATTTTTCAGTTAAATTTTTCTTTTAATATATTAGATGGTCAAATAAAAAAAATGTCCCTAAACTTGGTGATATGAATTCATCATTTGAAGATGTAGATGCATTTTATTCTTTCTGGTAAGTAAATACTTCTATGAAGTTGTCATTTTTTTAAAAATATTCAATAAGTACTTGATGCTTTATAAATTAATTGAGGGATGGGTGACTTACTGAACAAAAAGCACTATTCCAAAATGAATAAAGGTTTCACATGTTTTATGTCTTCTCTATGATATTCAGGCTTTTATGAGTGTTTTATTTAGCTTGTTTTCTATTAATGAGATCTAGGTTACAAGCACACTGTAGCAGTTAAAAAATAAAATCATTCGAATTCAATGAAAATTAACACATTTTCACTTAGCAGTTTTCCCATTAAAAGTGTTTGTGCATTTGAGGAAGACATTGCTTTGTGTTCAAGTTTATTGATTTTCAGTAAACAATATTTAGCACATTTTATTGTGTATTGTTTCCTTATTAAATATCTAATAAATAATGGAAGCATAAATTCACTGTAGGAAAAATTATGTAAGATTTAGTTGCCAGTTCAGTTGTCTATACATTCAGAAATAAAATAACCATTACTGGAGTTACTTTAAGGCTTCACAGAAAATGAGAGTAAAGGCAGGGAAAATTTAACAAGTCCTAGGCAAGAGAGAAACAAACCTAAGAAAGAAAAGAGGACAGTGAGATGTGACTTCTTTTTTTTACTTAAGCGTGATGAATGTATTTTCAGTTTTCATACTAAATGTGGAGTCATTTAACACAAGATGATGACATCAAGGACTTGAGCATTGTATTGGTTTAATACCAAAGGGAGGGAAGGAACCATTCAGACTAACTTATTTACTTGCCATTACTATTTTTAAAAATTATATGTATCTAATTTAATTTTAAAAGGAATGTTATTCTGTGTTAATTTTTTTTCTATCTAATTTAGGTATAATTTTGACTCTTGGAGAGAATTTTCTTATTTAGACGAAGAAGAAAAAGAAAAGGCAGAATGGTAGGTATGCACATCATTAATAAAGGAATATATTCCTTTGGTACCTGTGATAATATAAAAATAAGGTGTGGGTGTATACACACACACACACACACACACACACACACACACACATACAAATATATGCTTTTGTGTGAGTGTGTATTTTCTCTTGGTGCTGGAAATTGAAAGAAGGGCCAAGTATATGTTGCACATGTGCTTTACCACTGAGCTACATTCTCCAGTCATTATTTTCTCTGACACAGTATTTTGAAATTCCTCTATATAAATTAAACTAGATGGGGCCAAAAGAGTAACTGATTAGGCTTATGCTTAAGAAATTGCCAAGAGGGTGGCACACACCTAAAATCCCAGCAGCTCAGGAATCTGAGGCAGGATTATCACAAATTCAAGGCCAGGCTCAGCAATTTAGGCCCTGTGCAACTTAATGAGACCCTTTCTTATCATTAAAAATATAAAAAGAGCTTGGGATGTAGCTCAATGAGTGGTAAAATCCCTCTGGGTTTATTCCCTAATTACCCTCCTTGCCCCAAAATTGCCAAGATAACTCAATTCAGCAAATTTTTCTTTTGGTTGCTTAACCTAGGTTTTATTATACTTTTCCCAGAGTACGGAAGAAAATTCTTTTGACATGCATGTCCAAGAAAACTAACCAAAACTGATAATAAACAGAAGCACACTTCAGTGTTAGTAGTGATATAGCATTGTTAATTTTGTAAGACATTATTACATATAAATTTATAAAATATTACTCTTTCCAGTCATAATTTGTTTCCAATATTTACTATTATATAGTCGTGATGAGAGAAGATGGATTGAAAAGCAGAATAGAGCAACAAGGGCACAAAGAAAAAAAGAAGAAATGAACAGAATAAGAACATTAGTTGGTAAGTATAATTAATGTTTTTATAACTGATGTTTAAAGTTCTTTAAATGTTAGAATTTAAAAGATTCACTAATTTTTTTGGGGTAGACAATGCCTATAGCTGTGATCCAAGAATAAAAAAATTTAAGGAAGAAGA